TATATATATATATATATATTTGCATTTGCCCTCATGGGCAAAGCCCTAACAATTCGCCCCGTTGCCATGCTGCACAGGCTGCATTGGTGGCATTAAACCTTCTCGAGCAGATGGCATTTTCTTGGCGGAATGTAAGCTCAGCCCCTTCACTGTCCTATTATTTATTTCTTCGAAGTCTGAGCGCCCAGAAGGTAGAGCTCTGCGCATGTGCAGTGTGTCTCCCTTGCTTCCACCTCCCCAGCAGCAGCCGACACTGAGCTGACTCCAGAAGCTAGCAAGTAGGTCCCTCTGTATCACTGGGGGACTCTGGGTCCTCGGGGCAGCTTTGGGTGGTCCCAGGCTCAGGCCTGGAGACACACACACAGGGGTGGTTCTTTGTCATTTTCTGGCCACATCTTGGTCCCAGGCACACTGGGGTGGCCGGGCTGCTGCAGGAGGGGGCCGCAGCACCCAAGCCCATCACTTCCTCTCCTGAAGCCCTGCAAGACATGAGTCTGGTGGAGGTGAAGGCCAGCTGGAAGTGCTCAGAGAGGTGACATCCAGCCAGCCATGCAATGCAGAGGGGAAGGCCTGAAGTTAGGGAACAGGGACAGGACAGGGACAGGTGGGATGGACAAAAGGTCACAGAGCGGACATTTATGGAGGTGGAATTAATTTGCTGGAGGACAAGAACTCAGAATCAGGCCTCAGTGCTGGAAGGGACCATGGCTCAGGAAGTGTGGCCACAGCTGTCCCTGTTCCCCCAGTCTGCGCCATGTTGGGGAGCAGCAGACCCATGGGATGGGGGAAGGAGGCTCCAGTCAAGAACTGTAGGGCTCCTTTGTCCCTGAACCCTAAAGATTGCAGAGAGGCAGGAGTCTCCTACAGGCTGAAGGAGGAGAAGCCTGAGAGGGGCATCTATGGGGCAACTGGCCTGCAGGCTCAGGGAAGTTAGTGTCACTTCCACCAGTTAAGGGACAGAGGGGCATAGTCCCTCCCCCCATTATCAGATTGTCCTGTGGTGCCCAGAGGGCACTGAGAGAATCCTTGAGGAAAGGCTGTGTTTCCTGGCAGCGCTGGGGATACCGGACACACAGGTCAGATGCCACTGAGGGGACTTCGTAGTCCATCAATGCAAGAATCATTTTTAGAGCCCAGTGAGCTCACACATGCTTGCAGACCCAACACCTAGGAGGCTGAGGCAGGAGGATCTCACAAGTTCTAGGCCAGCATGGCCTCCATAGTGAGTTGACAGCCAGCTTGCACTACCTTGTCTCAAAAATAGAGAAGTAAGAGCTGGGGATGGTGGTACAGGTGTGCAACCACAGCACTCTGGGAGGCTGAGGCAAAAGAGTTGCAAATTTAAGCCCAGCCTAGGCAGATCAGTGACTTAGCAAGGTTCTGTTTCAAATTTTAAAATTAAAGGGGGAGTGAGAGGCTGGGGATGGTAGCTTAGTGCAAAGGCCCTGGGTTCAGTCCTCAGCATTAAACAAAACAACCCAACCCAACCTCAAAACCAAAACATCTTTTGGAAATATGGCAAAACCAGAATAGCCAGTCTCTTCAGTGCCAGGCTCATTGCTGAGGCTTGGTGACTATTTGTCAAGTGATAAGGCCCCTGAAATGGTTAGCAGCACATAGGCTTGGGATGACCACCTGCCCTGAGTCCTGGGCTGCTTCCTGGCTCCAGGTTCCATTCCTTCTGTTGAGTACAGACAAGACTCAGCCCAGCGCCCTCCCCAGGCTCCTGTATCCCTGCCTGCCCTTCACAGAGGTTGGCAGCTTCCTCTGGCCTAAGCCCTGTGCTGCCACTCTGGCTTCTTACACTCAGGAAGCCCTCTGCTCCAGGGAGCCCTCCCAGAGTCCCGTGCCTCTAACTCTGCCCAACTCATGCCCCCCCCACACAACTAAATATTACCCATTTAAAATGATATTTAAGCATATTGTCATTTTCTTGTGTCATTTAAGTTCTTTAATTGTGCTCAGTTCTCTGCCCCTAGAATGCCCAGGGTCTTGAGCTGACTGGGGCTCTTTTTTTTTTTTTTTTTTTTTTTGGCGGAACCAGGGATTGAACTCAGGCCCTTGCACTTGCCAGGGAAGTGCTTATTCCACTGAGGCATCTCCCTGGCCCTGACTGGGGCTCTTAATGTGAAGAGGAGACACAACCTTCACCTGCCCAAAGCCCTCAGTCTGAGGAAAGAGGTGGACCTGGCCCCAGGAAACCCATTCAACTGGTAGAGACAAGTCACACAGAGCCAGGTAATGTGGTGGTGCATATCTCTGAACCCAACATTGGAAGATGAAGCAGGAAGATTGCAAGTTCAAGGCCAGTCTGGGGTACTTAGCAACAACCTCAATCAAAATGTCAGACAAAGATCTTGGCAAAGGAATCCAAGGAGGTCCTGAACAGCAGGCTGGGCCCCATGGGTGGAGTGGGTCCTCTCCTGACCTGGTGGCAGCTGGTTTCTCTTTAGCAGTCCCTTGGTCACTGTGGCCAGGTGACAGCATGGCAGCTGCCAGTAGCTGCAGGAGGCTGAGGCAGGTGGGTGCAGGTCAGAAGCACGTCGAGGAGCAGCAGCTTGAAGAGCAGCAGCCGCAGGGCCGCCAGCCACAGGCCCTGGGCCTGGGGTCCTGCACAGAGAAGACAGGAGGAGTGCAAGAGCGGCAGGGGCCTCTTCTCTGCCCTGGCTCTGCAGGCAGGGGCCTCTTCTCTGCCCTCGCTCTGCACCTTTTCTCTGCCCCCTCCACTGGGGAGTTCTTGCCAGTGTCTTCAGAGGACTTTCCAGCCTTCTAGGGCAGTGGGCTGGCAGGATTAGTATCTGAGGCGACAGTTACCAGCCCAAGTCTTCACAGCACTGTAGGAGGCTGAGGCTGGAGGACTGCAAATTCCAGCCCAGTCCAGGGAACTTAAGGACTTAGACCCTGGCTCAAAATAAAATATAGAAATATTTTGAAGGGGCCGGGGAGATGGCTCAGTGGAATAAGCACTTCCCTGGCAAGTGCAAGGGCCTGAGTTCAATCCCCAGTTCCGGAGGGAAAAAAAGGAAATATTTTGAGAGGCTGGTGATGTTGGTCCCTGCTCTGCCTTGGCTCCCAGCCCCACGCCGGTACTCACCGCCTGGAGGCTCTGGGAAGCAGGTCCTGGAGCGAGAGGCTGCTCCTGCCGGCCAAGGGGAGGGCGGTGGATTGGTGACTGGAGCTGGGGCAGGTGCCTCCAGCTGGTGTTTTCCGGGGTGGGCGGTGAGGCTCTGGGGCACCAACGGCGGCGACACCGTGGGGCCCAAGCGGGAAAGGGAGGACTCCCCCCACCCCTAGCCCCGGCCCCGGCCCCGGCCCCGGCCCCGGCCCCCTGCAGCCCGCTCCCGAGGTGCGAGGCAGGGACCCACCTGACAGCTGCAGGGGCTGCGTGCTCCGGCGCGGCCCCCCGGCCCCGGGCTCCGCGTGGCAGACCAGGGGCTCCCAGGCAGCCGGGTCCTCGGCGGGCAGGGACAGCTGGGCCAGCGCGGTCCAGGTGCCGTCGGTGGCGGGGGCCGGGCCGTAGGTGAAGGCGTCCAGGGCGCTGCCGTTGCCCGCGGAGAACCAGATGGGGGCGTCCAGGCCAGGGGCTGAGATGTCGAGGACCAGGCAGACCACCACGGTGCGCTGCTTCCCATCCACCAGTAGCGTCACCGGCGGGGCCAGAGAGGGGAAGGCCGCCGCGCTCGGCCCTGCAGAAGCGCACACACCGGTCAGCCCCCTCCCGGGGCCACATCTCACTGTGGGCGAGGGCTCCGGTTCCTCTTTTTATCTGTCCTCCTCCACTGCAATCCACCTGCCCATTCCCTCCCTTCTTCCATCCTCCATTTATTCTTCCCACCTTCCATCTGTATATAATGTCTGGCTAGCCTATCTGTCCAGCCATCGGTTCATGTCCCCCCCCCCCCCCCCCGTTTCTGAGACAGGGTTTTGCTTAGGCTGGCTGCGAACTTGTGGTGATCTGCCTGCCTTCCTCAGCCTCCAGAGTGCCAGGATTACAAACGTGTGCCTGGCACCATCTGTCCCTTCTGTCCACCTGTCTATCTTCTCCAAGCTCCTTTCAATGCCCTGTGCTGGGGACATAACATGGAACAAGACATTGCCCCTGTCCTTGAGGAACCCAGTTAGATGGGAAAGACAGCAGCTGTGTGAGAAAGCTCGTAATACCACGTGCTGGTGGCCTTGGGACAGCGGTCACCTCTGGAGATGGAGGAAAAGAGACAGGGCCTGGAATGAGAACACACATATCACATATACCTGTGACTTCTTTCTCTGAAAACAAATCTGATTCAAATATGAATCCTCTTTTTATCTGTCCTCCTGAACAACAATTTTTCAGCCCGGGTGGAGTATGCACCGGTGAGTGTGGTCTTCATCCCAGTTCTTTTCTTGCTATCTGTGTTTTTGGTGGGGGGCTGATTGTGTGTGTGTGTGTGTGTGTGTGTGTGTGCGTGTGTGTGTATGTGTGTGTGTGTTGCCAGGGAGGGGACCCAAGACCTTGCATGTGCTACACAGAGCTCAGTCACTGAGCCATAGCCTTCTCTTTTATTTTTATACTTATTTTATTTATTTTTGTCTTTTTTGGGGGGGGTGGGGAGCCACTCAGGTTGCCTGCAGGGCAGGTTTGGCTTGAGGATGAGGGGATCGAACCACAGCATCCTGAGCCTGACTGCTTTGTTTCAGCAGGCACTTAAACACCTGAGCTAATGGGCAGGCCCTATTTTTGTCTTTTTGAGAAAGGGTGTTGCTATGCAGTTCAGGCTGGCCTTGAGCTCACTTTGTAGCACAAGCTGGTCTCAAACTAAATGATCCTCCTGCCTCAGCCTCCTTAGGGCTAGGATTACGGGTGTGCCCCCCTTTTAAAAGGCAACTTTATTTATACACAAGCCACGCCCCACACAACTCACCCACTTAAAGTTGAGGTCTAATAGCTCATAATTTTAAAATATTAGTCATGTGACACGGACAATATTTATTTGTCCCTGAGGTTTTCAAAATAATACTTAGTTTTCAGTATTACTCAGTGAATATGACTTGTCTAAAAACAAAATGTTACATTTGGAATATCTGGGATTTTGAAGCATCCACAAATTCACAGTCTGAGTTCTGCACGGCCAAGCTGAAACCAGCTTGGGATGCTGGGAGCTGCACAGGGGCAATGATGGGAACCCCGAAGAGATTTGGGGGCCCACATAGCCAAGGTAGGACAATGGAGTGGAGGTCATCAATGGGGGTTTGGACTCTGACTCTGGAGCCCATGGACCTTCCCACCTTGAAGCCTGACTGCGACTCTGTCATGTGTGCTGCAGACAGAAGCAAGGACAGGGCTTCAGGTAGGGCCGGGGCTCACTCACCACTCAGTTTACCAAGTGGACCGACCCACAAGGTAATGCATTTAGCTGGGTCGGTGAGATAGCTCAGTGGACTAAAGTGCCTGCTTATGCAAACTTAGGCAAGCCTAGGGACCGCGGTTCAACCCCCGCACCATATACCACACGAGTTCCACCCCTGGGCGAGCTGAGCCTGCCAGAGTCCAGGGGTGGTGGTGTACCCTGTAATCCCAGCACTGGACAGTCTGAAAACAGGAGGATCACTACATCGGCAAGCTGCGTAGTGGGGCCCTGTAACAACCAAATACGAGACTGGGCGTGGTGGCGCGCACCTGGAATCCCAGCTCTTGGGAGGCTGTAAACAGACGGATTGCTATGAGTCTGATCTAGTAGTGAGACCCTGAACACCCTGTAGACTCTTTCCTAAAAACAAAGCAAAACAAAAAACCAAATACATTGGGGAGAAAAAGATAATGCAGTTAGCAACACCAACCCCAGAAAACTACTCTTGAAAAGGCTGTAATGCTGAATGTCTTGGTAGATAAGTTCAAGTATTATTTATTTTTCCTTCTTTCTTTTTTTTGTAGTGTTGGGGATTGAATGTGGGGCAAGTGCTTTCCTGCTGAGCTACAGCCCCAGCCTCCCAGCCTCTTTTGGAGGTGGGGTCTTACTCTGTTGCCCAGGTTGGCTTCAGACTTCATGATCCTCCTGTCTCAGCCTCCCTGCTAGCTTGGATTATGGGCCCACAGCACTGCCTTCAGCTCTATTCTTGATATTTTTATCACTACAGCAAAGAAAGAAAATAAGAAAGCTGGGCGTGAGCCCTGACCTCCAACTTCCTGAGCCTCTTCAATTGTGCAGAAAGACACTGCCAGAGCTGAGTTCTGCCTCTCCTCCTCTGCGAAGCCTGCTGCCTGCACCACTAGTGCCTCCCCACACCTCAGGCCTCTTGCCATGGGCTCACCCTGTCCACCTGTGCCACAATGAGGGTGCCTGGGACACACTTCAGGTCAGCTGGGATCAAAGAGACCCCTCTTTATGCTGGTTATAATGGCACTTACCTATAATCCTAGGACTCTGGGAGGCTGAGGCAGGAGGATCACAAGTTTGAGCCCATTCTTGGCAATTTAGCAAAATCCTTTCTCAAAGTAAAAAAGAAAAGGAAGCCAGGCATGGTGACCCATGCCTGCAATCCCAGCAGTTGGGAGGCTGAGGCTTAGTGAGCTTAAGGGCAGCCTGAGCTACATAGTGAGCACTTGTCTAAAAAAAAAGGAGGAGGAGAGTAGGAGGTATAACTCAGTGTGAAAGATCTGGATTCAATTCTTTTTTTTTTTTTTGGCGGAACCAGGGATTGAACTCAGGCCCTTGTGCTTGCCAGGGAAGTGTTTATTCTACTGAGCCATCTCCCCAGCCCCTGGGTTCAATTCTTAGTTCAAATAAATAAGATCCCTGACTTAGAGGTCAAGTACAAGCATGTCCCCTGTAACACAAAAAATAACACACGCACGCACACATGCACACACACATGCACACATGCATGCACGCACGCACGCTCATGCCCTCAGGTGTTGCCAGGATTCTCCACAGGACACAGGATCCCTGTGGCCCGGCCTTGACCTTGAGAAGCTGACTATCACCCTGAAAAGGCCCTGAGGCCTGGGGACCCCTCCTGGGCCACTGGGCAGAGGAAGCCGGAGATGGACTGGAGACTCCCAGCGGTATTGGTACCTGCTCCCCGAGGGCAGCACTACAGCAACGACCTGCTGTGTCCCCGTCTCACCCTCAGGATGCCATCTAACACAGCCTGGCTCCACTCTGCCTGGGCTCTGTGGGTGGCTCCCCCACTGTCCACAGGCCTGCCAGGGCTGTTTGGTCGCCAACACTGCTCCAGGGCAAGCACCCCAGAGAGAGAAGGGGGTGGCTGCCCAGTGAGCCTGTGCCCAGGAGGCCTTGTTCTGTGCCCTAGCACCCTGCCTACACCCAGGGAGGCCCGGAGAGCACCGAGAGGACGCACAGGGACTCACCTGTGGGCAGGGCTGGACACCCGAGGGCCAGGAGAAGCAGCAGCCCCGTCCCTGCCATGGCCACAGGAGGTGACGGGCGCAGGTGGAGGCGCCGCCTGGAGGGAAGGAGCCACCCACAGCCAGCTGCGCCCCAGCTGCTCCCACCAGCCGTTTCCCAGCCCAGCCCAGCCCGCTCCCTCCTAGGGGCCAGGGCCGGGGTCTCCCACGTGGGAAGCAGGGTGCCCCCTTCTGAAGAGCGGCTCAGTGGGGGCGGCAGGATGCCAGGGCCTGAGGATCAGCTCTGAACTCCGCTGTGGCACCCCACCCACCCTGCCACAACACCGTGAGCTCCATTTCACAGGGGCAGCCAAGGGTCTGGAAGGCGCGGTGGGCAGGGGGCAGCACCAGGCCTTGCATCCCCTCCAGATCCCTCCGGCCCTGCAGCCAGAGAAGGGCCAGGAACTTCTTGCTGTGCATTCTAAGTGGCCTTTTACCCTG